TAAGGAAGAAATTTCTTACAGCACTGATTATGTGTTAAACATTGACCAATTTAGAAAACAATGTGTAATTTCTCTGCATGTGAGACATCAGACTGCCTAGAATTTTTTTTTTTTTCAAATCAAAAATAGTTTGAATGCCTCATCTCTGTTTTCTGTTCATTACTGTTTTAATAGTTACAGTGCAGTGAACAACTTCTTTACTTTCTGTCACAGTGGGAGGAGAGTGTTTGAAAGAGAAGTATGTGTGTGTTTTTAAAGTCGTCTTACTACAAATATTATTAAAAAGTTATTTGAAAAAATCAAGTTCACACACAAAAGCTGACTGGAAGTTATTTTCTATCATTTAACATTTCATTTTAAATGTTGTACACACCTACTACAACAGCAAAATAAAATGTTAAGCTGATGTTCATCACTTTCATGTATTTATCCAATTTTAAAAATTATAACACATTATTTGTTTTAATTCTTTTATTTATGCAGAGATGGGTGAAATGTTAACTGTTAGTGATCTGAGCCCAGCAGTAAAACTGGGACATCTGAGCTTCTGTTGTTTACCTGTGTTTGTTTTTTTGTTTTTTTGTTTTGTTTTCAAATAAAGTGAGTGAAAAACAGACAGAAACTTATTTTTAAAGAATGAACATAAACACACTTTTCTCCACAAAGTTGTTATATGTACAAATGAGACTTTTTCAGGAAGAAGTTGGAATGAGTTTGATTTGCTTTCATAAAATGACTTTGAGGTTAACATGCAAATCAATGAGTTCAATAGAAATAAAATCAAAAACCTTTCTGTTAAACCCACTCGTGTGTGTGCTTCAGATTAATTTTAATCTATGCCAGTATTTGATGAGATGATTGCATGACTTTTATTCTTTTTTTAAAGTAGCTTCATATTGGTTTTCATTTGTTGAGAGAGTTTGAAGAACTATATTTTTATCCTGTTTGTGTCATTATTGTCCTCAGGTGATGGAGCAGCAGGTCAGCATTGGCGTCTCTATACCAGCTGAAAGTTCATGACACAAAGTGGTGACAAACTGTCT